TTTTTTTTTTTTTTTTTTTTTTCATTACACAACATTTAAGAGGATAGAGCAACGTGTATTATCAAATGAGTAACATCGGTGTCCATAAAAATTTAACGAGGACTTCGGCAAATATTAATACCCCGGTCCTGGTCCTAAATGATCGCGATGACTATTGTCGAGTAACGTGGGGAACGAGCGTCATTAAAAATCCCATAAAACCAAGGTAGTTCGGCTTGCCTTCGTTTCATTTGCATTTCGTCGTATAATTGTCCGGCTTCTAATTACATCGACGTGGCGAGCGAGAGAAATAAAATGGAAAAAATGCTCGAATCGAAAAATGGAACGGGGCCAAAGTGTTGGAAAATATTTTTTATTAACCAAGCATCATTTCGCGAATTTTATTGTTGCAAGCATCTGGTGGATATTATCCATTTCTGCTAAAAATTAGGTTGACAGAGAAATGTGAGGGGGATGGATATTGCTCAATGTATTGCTTATGAAGGAACATTTTGGAAAGTGTATATTTTGGGATTGGAAAATGGAAATTTTTCCTAAATTTTAAATATCACTAAGTTCTTTCCTTTGCAAATTTATAGAATTTTTATGCAAATATGAATTTATTCTTGCATATTGGAAAGTGTATCAATGTTAAAGTTGAAATGTTTGAAACGAAAGTCAATTGATGTTCTTGATTAATGATGTAGCTTTGAATTATGATATTTGAGATAAAGGAAATAGAGGAAAATAATATAAAATGTCGATATTAATTGAATTCTATAGAGAATACTAAAGAATACGATGAATATTTGTATATGTGTTTTTAAAGTAAAAGTTTTAGTGCTTTCTGATCTTTTTGATTTATCTTTTGATTCCATTATTTCCAAACACACATATATTTTTCATAAACCAAAAATTGACGAGTAAACAATTTATTTAGAAAATAAATAGTATTGACAGAAACATATTATTCTTCTAAAAAATAAGACTAAAAAATTATATCTTGAATCATAATACTTAATATTTTACAAATAAATACATCTTGTATGATAAATTTTCTTCACAAATGTGCACGATAATTCGTCCAATTTCACGAAACAACAACGAACTAATAATGTATCCAAGCAAACAGCACAAATTGCGTATCCAGAACCAGCTCGATCTAAAATTCACGCACATGATGAATCTGAATCCTAGAACTGGCAGTTTTGGTAGGAAAAGGAATCGAGTTAACCGTGCAGGGCCAACTTTCGGCTAGATAAATTCGAAACAATGGCACGGTTAATTTCGCGATGAAAACATTGAAACTGGAAGAGAAAGTGTAATTATTGTAGTCGACTGTCGGCTATGGAAAACACTTTAACGAGGGCAATCAAGCCGCTATTATTAACCTTTTCGGTCGTGAAATGTTGATACTAATCGAAGAGTCGAGAAGGAGCGGTATTTATAGTTTTAAATCACCACCCACGAGTTTTCATCAGGCGTTAATTCAACCAAAAGTGGCACGTTTGGTCTTTATATACATATCATTTTCGTCAATGAAATAAACCTTTCGTGTCCAAAATTATTCGATGGACCCAGCATTCGATTCGACACGGTGTCTCGTTAAAAAAATCGAAAGAAGTTCCCTATTTAAGGATATTGATTTTCGATTGAACAGAAAGGAAATAGGAAATCGTTGTGAAACGACGAAAAATTATATAATTGCCGTCATAGAAGATCCTGTCAACAAAGGTTGTTTCCCAAAGATCGATACATCCTGTACACAATTTTACTCTCTCTCTTTCTGTCTGTCTGTCTTTCTTCACCTCCATTACTCCAACTCATTTTCCATCAAATCATCGTATCCAATCATCGTTACGTCCAGGACACGTTTTGCGACATCCCCCAAAGCTTTCTCCGCCCTAAGGACAGCCAAATTACGCCCGTAACGAGGAGTAATTTCGCCCAACAACGTCACTCGGAATACAAACACGTCCGACTGTTTGCGGCTCCTTCCGGTTTAAATCGGGGATGGAAACGAATTTCAGAATTCGAACCATCGCTTCCCATCGTGGAAACGGGATCTTTGTTTCCTGCATCCCTCCCCAGAAGATGCATAATCAAAGCGATAATGCCCTTTGCACGTAAACAAGTGTACACAGTGTACGCTTGCACACAATATCGCGCACCTGTCCGTGTGAAATCGAGGATTTCCATGTTAATGCGATTTCTGTAACAGACAGCTTCATTTGGTCCTGGAAAACTCAATATGGTCGCCCCTCGGTCGAATCGAAACTCGAGCGAGCCGATTTACGATCGAATTTTCAAGCTTGCTCCAAGTTATTCGAGCCGAGCTTGGATCATTGCGTTAGATCATCTAATTGATCTTGTCCGGCCGGGCTACTTGCTACGCGGCTAAATCAACGGAAATCCACGTTAACTTTTGATCCGTTTTATAGCTCGATAAATATGGAAACTGTGGATACAGTTTTAAAGTTTTGTAATAATGGAAATAACTTTATTTTAATAGAATAGAGGTCTTCCTTACCGAGATATCATTTTTCAAGCGATATATCTAATCTTATTTCTAAAGAATCGATCCATTTGATCGAAATTAATTTTAAGAAAGAATTTTTAATGTCTCTACGATATTTTGTTAATTTTTGTGCTTATATTTTGACTATTTAAGAAACTTAAGCTTATATAATTTTATGAAGTTGAAAAAATGTAATTTATTCATTTTAATTTTCATTATATGAATATAATACAAGTTACCAATTAACAGAAAAATTATCTTCGTCATGAAATGGAGAAGAATAATGTCAGAAGATCGTTTCATACATAATTTCGAAATTAAAATCCAAATATCTACGAGGAACGTATACCTGTATTAGCAATCGGCTGGTATCGTTAGTACTCGTACACGATTTGGCGATCCAACGCGATCGATAAAACCTATTATAATTTTCGTCGATTGCCAATAACACTGAAACATTGTTATTTCTTTCGTTCCGATACAATTATAGAAATTAATGGATTTGAAAACAGTTCGGTTTATCGATTCCAAATATACGCGTGTATGGAAACGATTTCTATTTAGATACTATCATCGGTTGAAACGAGGAATGGTCACGTTTTAGGGAAGATTATTTGGCACGGTGAAAGTTTTGGAGGGGTAATTTCGGTAAATATCAGAGGTTGGCGCTGTAGGTAATATAAAGGATCACTGAAAGATATGGAAATCGGCGTTAAAATGGGATACAATATCTCGTATTAAAGCAGGATGAAATAAAAAGTATCTATTGGAGTTATTGCATCGAAGTATAAAAGAAGAGAATAAAATTTATGACTGTGAGCTATGAGTATTGTTTATTATTATTTATCATATTCATGCAAGAGAGATTATGATAAATCACATATGTATTAAAAATTGCAATTTGAAGATTATTTATTTCTTAAAGAAATGTATGGAACACAATATTTTTTGCTGAAAATATAAATTTTCTAAAAAATTGGCCATTTATTAGTTAGACTTAAATAATTTATTAATAATAAATTCAATAAATTTTAAAAAGAATTATCGAAATATTTAAAGAAATTTATTCTACTAGATTGGTAAAAAAATTATGATAAGATTAAAATTTTAAGAAAATATTATGACAATCTAATAATTCTCGAAAAGTGTATTCTTTTATATGCTAATAAATATGCTACTAGATACTTATCCAGAGATAAGATTCTCGTTTTATATCCCGTGAGAAGTCAACGTGATGAAATTTAGTGTAGTAATCTAATAAATGTTCAACACTGATATGCTATTCCTTTCGTCATAAAAAACTCAGAATGAAAGCATCGATAAGCCGTGGAAAACGATGAACAAGATGAAGTTCCTTTCAATGATAAACATCGCAGCTGAAGAGGAAAAAGAAATTCATTTTCCTTCTGATATGTCGCTCCATACTTATCGAAGATTCGTTTTTTAGATTAGTTCCTTTTGTAATTGTTCTATTCAATTTTGAAGAAAATTGTTTGAATGTGTAAATATATTTTATGTTTCACGCATTTGAAATTCTAAATTTAAACTTCGTATTATTTTACTTACATGAGAAACAACCAATAATCCGATTGAAATTAATTTAAATAATATAATTTATTAAAAACTTTTAACTGAGAACTATTTATCATACGCATTGAAAACCAGGAATATAATAATTTATTAATAATAATTGTTCTCTTAAATAAAATAAATGATAAATTTAAAAAAATACTGTAAAAAATCAATAACACAATTAACTTTCAAAAAAAAAAGAGAAAAATTTTTCTTCTTCCAACGATTTTTAATTTCCAAAACCCAACAAAAACAAAAACTCTCTGGAATTTTCTCGAAAGCCCAATCCATTCGCACGATCCCCAACCTATCTCCTATTGATCTCCAAACTTTGAACCCGCAAAGAAGACACCGCGGTCATCCTCGTTTGTCAATCGTCGTCACTTCCCCATTCTGTTTTACAATCGTCCTAAAACAGATCGTGAAACACAGTGAAACGATCGTGCCACGATGGGGCAAAATCCTTGCCTCTGGACCCTCGTGTACACGCGTGATACGTCGCAGAGGGAGGAAATCAAGAGGGTTGATAGCACCTCTTCTCTCTATTTTTATTACGGGACGAAAATCGTTTACGTCGCGCCGCTCTGCGCGATTCAGAATGGCAACCGTGCGACCATTTTGCTTTCATCTTCTTTTCTCTCTCTCTTTCTCTCTCCTTCTTCCTTTCTCACCCTTCGTCCATTCTTTTCCACGCGGCGTTTGCGAGTCTTCCGTTACGGATTAAATTTAATACGCCGGTATCGTGGCTCATTATATTTTTACACGAAATCCTCCGGCGTCTCCGGTGTTAAGAAATGGGATACCGTGGCTGGAGTCGAGAATTTTAACCCCTCTCCACGAACAGTTGGAATTTTCTTCCCAGACTTTGAGATTTTCCTCGAAATT